ACCTATTACTCAAACTAATTTTTTTATAAATCTGAAACTACCTTAACTTTTTGATCATTAATTAAATCTCTAGATACTGAGCGGAAGAATTAAATGCATTGGGTTATACAAAGATCCGTTTTTGTTTTTCGTATGTGTTCCACATACCCAGAAACGTATTTAGGGGGGGAGGCAGAGGGGACTTGAGCCCCGAGTGGTTATATTTTGGATAGCATTTTGATATAATAAGATAAGCTTTTTGGCTGACAAAATAAAAGTATTTTGAAGTTTTGTATAGTAAATAATAAAACACATATACCAACTATAATTATGTAATAATATGTACTTCAATATTAATGTATTTTTTTATGTATACCTAATATACCTTTCAGGRTATGAGTGTAACGAAGAATGCATTGGTATCACTATATGTTTTTTTTTTACACCTATTGCCGAAGAAATTTAGGTTAAGAAGCCGTTTTTTTTTTTACCTGGGACGCAAAATTCCTAAACATGTCTCTGCACGTCATACTTAACTTGGTAATTTTTTGATGTGCGATTGAAATTCAGAATTTGATAATATTGGATATTCAAATTACTATTTCGTTAAATTTGCTGCTCTAATGCCTTTTATTATTTTAATATTGTTTAAAAATGTACGTTTGTTTCGACGTGTATCACGAAAATGTCAGTTTTTCAGTCTGTCTGCTTAAGAGGACGTGATACCCGCATGTGTTGTCTCTGTCTTACAAGTGCATTATATAGTAAATTTTACGTTCAGCAGAACACGTGTAGCTCCGTTTGCTTAAAAATTAGAGTGAATTGACCTCTYATAAAATTTAAAGGTATGATTGTGATCTANCAAAATAACAAGGAAATCGCTAAATAATAATGTTTTTCCGATAGAATATCATTATATTTTTGTTTGAGTGATGTGATAGATGGCAATAAGTAACCAAAATACATATATTTTTACCCTTGTAATACATCTAGACACACACACATGCAGAGGCTCCATTACTAGTAAATACTCGTCCAAAAATTATATATCGGCTTTAGAAAAACGGTTAACTTTAACAGCATCGCATATCTTATACAATTTAGCAGGGCTCATTTTAAAATGAATATAAGAAATTTCATAGCATTAAACAAGTATACATCCAAATTGGTTTTAACTATGTCGGCCATTTGACTAGAACAGTTCTGTTTGTTCCAAATAGCTTGACATTTTGCAAATGTAGATGCTAAAATACTAAAATCCTAAAAAAAAAATATTGTTATACTATTAAAGTATTCCGAATATAGTATTTGGAATACAACGATGAAATGTTCAACTTGAAACGTACCAGAGTCTAGAAACGTAATATCGATGTTTCAGTTTTTCACAAAAATACCATTTTAAAATGGTCTTGCATTCTATAAAAATTCACTCTTGGTTTTACCCATAAGCCCACATTTTTATCTCTATACCCCCTGGTACCCCATGCCTGTCACCAGTCACCACCCACCGATCACGCCGAAGCATACGCCGACTGGTCGTGCCGTCGTGGTGAGTTTAGTAAACTAGTGAAGTAGTGACTACTGACYAGCGTGTGTGACTGGTGTCTATCGAGTGACGAGTTTATTCTGCATTCAAAGCTATATAAAGATGATTACGCCAAAAAATACGGGTGAACTACTGGAAATTCAGACTAAGGTGAGTACTTACTACTTATTACAACAGTTTTTGACCGCAGCAAAACAAATTTCAAATTGTTCAGAGATTAGTCTAATATTTCACTCACCTTTATCGGGTTAGGCATTCACATATTTGTAAAATTGTGAGATTTTAACTATACTTGTTGTACCTATACCCTTGACGTAAATGTTCGTCATGCCTATAACCCCCGTATTTATTACTAAAATCTAAAATAATATATAAATATTAATTTATGGATTATTAGCCATTATACCTACCCCAACATTCTCTTTAAGAAATTATTATATGGTCTCCCTCGAATAYCCTTTTCGCCACGCTTGTTTGATTGTACAAAATATAATTCCAGTTATAATTATTAGTTTGTTGTTTTTAATTAATATTTTARGTACATTTGAAAGGTAATATATTTGTCYAAAGTAGCTATATATGAGCATTTATGTAGGTATCTACAAAATATGTATTTAATCATTTATTTTGATTCAGGTAACATGGTATGTAGTATGGTTCCCAGATTTAAAGGAATATAGTGTTGTTCCAACAAATTGGATTGTAGAAAATAATGATTCTCAAAGTAATGCACTATTTTGCAAATGGCCCCCTTATAAGGTTACCAGTGACCATTTAAGAAAAGCTATAAGTCCATCTCAGTCATGGGAAACTTATAGGGTGAAGTTAGTTGGTGCCAATAAAACGTATGGTAAGTGTTTCTACTTATTATTTCATGTTTAAGCTAGATTATTTGATCCATTTCACATTAACCTAACCTGCAGTTCCTATTTAATTAGTGTAACTCATGTTATACTAGGTATAACAAGTAAGCAAATACATAATATGTTACTAGCAGGACCAGATTGGCCAGGCTAGAAACCGAGTAAAACTCRATGGACCGTGACAATTTTGGGCCATTTAAGTTATGAGGCTGCTAATTGAAAATTTGTTAAGAGTTTGAAGTTGAAAAATGCAGTACAAGTATTAGACTTGTACATACCATAGTATATGGTTGTAGCCTTGTAGGTGTTGTTGATATTAAGTTTGTAAGTGGACTGATTAAGCACAAAAACTCGGTGGACCGAATTCGTCCAATCCGGCCAATGTTGACTATTTATAAATATTTTGAATTAGATATCTGAACAATAATTGAATATTTAAATGTTTGTACAATGATAATTGGTAAAGAAAATATAATTTTTACTCACTTCTTAAGTATTCCTAAATATCAATACCTACTATTAAGTATTAAAGTTAATTTTTTACTGACATTACCTATTAGTAACTTTTAAAAATAGATTTTTATTTCATTATTTAACTTGGGCTACATGCATTTTGTGGATGACAGGATGAATAACTCAAGGTTAACTTTGCTATAATTTCAGCTAACTATTATTATTTTAATTTAGGTATAAAAAATTAAGAAAACATACTTTACCTTTATAATTTAAGCATTCATTCAAATCCTATAAAAATATGTATTCTGTTATTACTMTGTAATTAGCCAATCAAATAAATATGTGTATTGTGTACATATTTTATTGTTTTATTATTTATGTTTTAAATTTTAATAGTGCACCAAACTACAAAACAATTTTTAATGTTAGTCAAATAAGATKAATTATGATATTATTATTTTTAGACAACTTCAACAAGGCATGGCATAAAAAAATAAAAGAAAAATATTCTTCTACAGACACAAATGATTCTCCAAACTATAAAAAAAAAAGATTTCTTATGTGTCCTTCAGATGAAAGTGATGATGATGATGGTGATAATGGTAATAATTTTTAAAGTTTTGTATCCAAAACTATATGRCACAGATATTTATAAAGTTATTTTGATTTTATTATTAATTAATATGCAGGTTTAAATTTTAACATAATGCCATATAAAGAAGAAGTAAGTGCTCCATCAATTTCTCTAGAACCAATTAATTATGGTGCTTCTTCATCATCTATAASTAACCAGCTCTCTGCAGAAATTAATATAAACCAAGAAAAAACTGTGCACTACACTGAAATGCTGCCAAAGATAGTTGAACTAGAATATCCTCAAAATCATACATTCGTCAAGGTAATAATAATTACCTATTACAATCTTGAATTATTCAATTCCATTTAATATTATAATATGTATTAGGTAAACAGAATGATCCGTTTAATAAAAAAAAAACTCATCAGTTCAAAAACTACCTATTTAAGTTTTTACTTATTTATATTACTCGGTATGAGTTTTATGTGGGTGACATACATTTTTTTTTTTTTTGTTGATTGTATAAATCATAATAGTATTTGTGGTAGTACATATGCGGGTTAAACACTTAAAATGAGGTTTACTATAATTTTCTTAGTTTTAAGTTTGATCATCCTACTTAAAAAAATGTATAGTTTATAAAGTAATAGTGAATACAGTTAAATAATTGATACATTTTATTGTTAAATTTAGATTAGGTATTATTTTATGTATCCTAAAATAATAATTACTATATAATTTATATCAAGGGCTGGGATTTCGAAGCACTTTGCATTGTTTTCCAAAGCTTACTGTGCGATGCTCGTCTGGTCACAAATTTGTTTTATATATTTATGAATGAGAATATAAAAGTTTATTTTGCATTTTTTGGGATCTTTTAGTTTTTAGGTCATTTTTTAAATTTTTTAGAACATTTTAGRGTTTTTGAAGCATTTTTTGAGTTTTTGGAAACCAAGTATAAATTTGAAATTTTATTTTAAGATTTTTACACCAACATGGTTTTAATATAAATATAACAGATTATAAGTAGGTATAGGTTAGGTTACCTACTCGTAATTCGTATTATATTATCGGACAAAGTTTGAGTAACCACTGTTAAATAATCTTAAATCAGTAAAATTGACATCTGATGATATTGTTTGACGTTCAGTACGAGTTTTGTCGTCATAAACACTATTTTATTATTCTAATTATTTTTTTGGGTTTTTAGGGCATTATATATATATAACCTAACCTAACCTAGAATTTTTAGGTCAAAAGCATTTTTGGGGGTTTTGAGGGCATTAAAATCCCAGCCCTATATATATCATTCAAATTAAAATTAAAAAACTGTATAAAATATGTAACAAATCTCGGTAATTTATATTATTATTATTGAACAGGATACAAATTGTTCAATTCCTATATCTCATCATTCAYCTTTATATTGCAATGGTAAATATAATAAATTATATTGTACATAATTCCAAAATATATGTACGTATATTAATATATTCTGTAAAAATATTTTTCAATATTTAGGAAATATAAGGTGCTCATCTCAAGTTGATGAAAAATTAAATAACATAATTACAGAACAAAAAGAAATAAAATTATTGTTGAAGCGCATCTTGTCAAAACTTGATACTCACTCGTTAAGTAATAATAGTCAAAAATCAATAGATCTGAATGAAAGTTTTGTATGCAGATTTCCTATGAATAATATTGAAGAATTTACATCAGTCCAAAACTGTATCTCAAATGAATTTGATTTCACGTCTAAACTGGTAAATAAATATTTAGATTACAACTCACATATTTGTTAACTTAATTATGTTTGTAGGAATATTTTATCAAAATCATTGGTGGAAACACTCCAAAAAACCATGTTAGAAGAGTTATGTCAAAATTGTTTACTGATAAATATGGAATTGAGTGTACCTGGACAGGCCGTGGCAAAAATATTAGCACTAAAATTGGTGACTCGGATCTCATTAAAATAATGAAAAGTAATTTTAAAGGCATTTTATCTTTCATTTAAAACTTATTTTAATCTATCTGTTAAAGACTTAATGTCTGTACTCATATAATATACAGGGTGATTATTTTATCATTAAACACTTATTATTTAAAAAAGTATATACTTTTTTCAAAATATTTTTTTACATAGTTTCAAGTTKTTAAAAAMCCAACGTTTTTATTAAAAAATTATATTTTTTATCCTTATCATTTTTTAAGTTTTTACTTTTTTGAATGACAACATAGA